TCAAAAGACACAGACTAGCAGACTATATTGGAAAACAGGATCCATCTACTTGTTTTCTCCAAAAACACACGTTACCATTAAAGACAAATGGTACTAGAGGGTTAAAAGATGGAAAAAGAGATTCCAAGAAAACGGAACTAGGAAATTAACAAGTAGAACTGTGCTGGCAATGTAGACTTCAAAACTAGTCAGAAGAGATAAAGAAGGTCACTTCATACTATTACCATGAGGACATTACAATTCTGAACATACATGCACCAAACATGGGTACACTCAACTTCATAAGACAAGTAACACGAGTAGGAAACTCAAAGACTAACCCTAACACAGTCATAGTGATGTCCCACTCTTAGGTGTAGGTCATGCCAGCAAAAATACATAGAGAAACATCTGAGTTAAATGATGTCATAGGCCATACAGACCTAACAGACATTTACAAAATAGTGCATGTAAACACTGCAGTATCCAGCATTCTTCTCAGCAGCCCATAGAACTGTCTGTAAATAGATTGTACAACAAGATACAAATCAAGTTTTAACAAATACAAGAAAAGTGAGATCATTCCTTGTATTCTACTTGAACACAATGTAACACAAGTAGAAATCAAGAGGAAGAAAAAAACTATAGAACTGTGCTAGCAAAATGACTCAAATGAAAACTAGTCGCACGTTCACTTCACACTATTAAAGTCATTAAGAATCAAGAGGTATGGGGCTGCAGAGATGGCTCAGTGGTTATGAGCACTGCTTGTTCTTGCAGAAGACCTGGGTTTGAATCCCAACACCCACATGGCAGCTAACAACCATCTGTAGCTCCAGTTCTGGGGCAGCTGATGCCTTCTTCTGTCTCCACCAGGCATTGCAAGACATGGGTGCACTTACACACATGCAGGCAATACACTCATACACATAAAATAAACATAAATAAAATTTAAAAAAAGAATCATGAGGCACCACCTTCACTGAGGAGCTACAGACAAAGTTACTGCAGAAGGAGAGTCTTGTTCCTCAGGGGACTTGCCCTTGCTCAAGTAAATAAACCCCAACCATGCTCATGCAGGCAACCGCGATTAAATGCAGTAGAGGCCAAAACACAGGCATAAAAGTAAGAAAGACTTGCTGGGGAGATTCTGTGGGAGGGAAAGGGGTGATAAGAGAGGATAACGAGGAAAGGTGGAGGACGATATGATCAAATATATTGCCCTATGTATAAAATCAAGAAAGAATAATTTTTACAAATCAGGGCAGAAATTAATAGAAATGGAAAAAAATGCAAAGCATCAATGAAGAGTTGGTTCTTTGAAAAGGTAAGACAAGACTGTTAGCTAAACTAACCAAGAGAAAATACAAATAAATAAAAGCCAGAGATAAAAAAGGAACCATTAAAACACATACCAATGAAATTCAGAAAATCATTACAACATATCTTTAAAACTTTTCCACCAAACTGGAAAAATTAAAAGAAATGAATGAATTTCTAGACCTATCAAAATTGAAGCAAGATGAGATAAATAATTGACAGCTCTATAATAAAGAGATTCAAGTAGTAATAAAAAACTCTCCCAACCAAAATTGTACAGGTGTAGATGAATTCCCTGCTGAATTCTATCACAATTTTAGAGAACATCAATCATTTTCAAAATGTCTCATAAAATAGAAAACGAAGGAATGCTTCCAAACACTTAGGAAGCTAGTACCACATTTGACTGAAGTCTGCGGATCTCTAATTCTGTTTATCTGTGCCTTCTTCATCTTTGTCAGACTGACTAGGGTTTGAAATCTTGTTTACTTTTTCAAAGAACCAATTTTTTGTTTGGTTAATTTTATGTACTGGTCTTTAATGCAATACCTAACAAAATTCGAATTTCATATTTCACAGAACTAGAAGAAACAATGCAAGAATTCATATGGAACCATAAAAGGCCACGAGCAGCCAAAGCGATCCTAAAGAGTACAAACACGGAGGCATTGCAATTCTCGATCCAAATTACACCACAGAGCTATAATGACAATGACAGCTTGGTACTGGCATAGAAACAGGCAAGTAGACAACTGAAGAGAAAGATGTGTCCACCTCATTCTTGGTACAAGAGGCAAAAACAAACATTGGGAAAAAATCAGATAATGGTGCTGGCAAAATTGGATTTCTACCTGCAGAAGAGTGAAATTAAATTCACAACTTTCACCTTGTACAAAAAATCAATTCAAAGCAGAACAAAGATCTTATTTTAAACCCCAAAGTCCTGAAACTCCTAGATGAAAATATATGGAATATTCTTCAGGACATTGGGGTAGATAAGAACTTTATGAATAGAACATCAATAGCACAGGAACTAGCCCCAAGTATCAACAGATGGGACTGTATGAAATTAAAAAGTCTTGGCATAGCAAAAGACTATGAACAGAGCACACAGGCAGCACACAGAACAGATGAAAATCCTTACCAGCTACACATGAGACACAGGGTTAATATCCAGAATATATATAAATAACTGCAAAAATTAAATACTCAGGAAATAAAATTGCCTATCAACAAATGGGCCAAGAACTGAATACACAGTTTTCAGAAAGAAATACAAATGGCCAATGACTATTTTTTAAAGTATTTTATTTATTATTTTTATTTTATGTGTATGAGAGCATTGCCTGCATGTATGTGAGTGCACCTGTGTTGTGCAATGCCATGGAGGTCAGAAGACAGCTTCGGATTCCCCTGGAACTGGAGTTAAGGACCGTTTGTAGCTGCCATGTGGGTGCTGGGAATCAAACCTGGGTCCTCTGCAAGAGCAGTCAGTGCTCTTAACTGCCAAGCCATCTCTCCAGCCCCCCAACGACTATTTTTAAAGTGTTAAACATCTGTAGTCGTCAGGGAAATGAAAATTAAAACTACTGTGAGATACCACCTTACCCCAGTCAGAAAAGCTATTACCAAGAAATGGAAAAACAGAACATTATTCACTGCTGGTGGAAGTGCAGATTGGCCCAGCCATTATGGAAATCAGTTTGGGGCTTCCTCAAAAGATTAAAAATAGAACTACCATACGACCCAACTCTCTCATTCCTGAACATATACTCAAAGAACTTGATGTCTTACTATAGAGATATTTGTACCCTTGTGTTTATTGCTGCTGTATTCACTATAACAAGATGGGACCAACCTAGCTCTCAATAAACAGGTGAATGGATAATGAAAATCTGGTACGTGTATAAAACGACATAGTAACTCTAAAGAAATCACAAGTGGCTAGAGAGATGGCTTAGTGGTTAAGAGAACTGGCTGCTCTTGCAGAGGACCCAGGTTTGATTTCCATTACCTACATGTCAACTAACAACCATCCATAACACATTTCAGGGGATCCGACACCCTCTTCTGACCTCCATGGGCACTGCATAACTTACACACATGCAGGCAATACACTCATACACATAAAATAAAAATAAAGAAATAACAAAGTTCACAACAAAACAGGTGGACCTAGAATGAATACTATTAAGTGAAGTCACCCAATCTCAAAAAGTAGAAAGATCACCTAAAATGTATACCTGTACATGTGTAAACAAACTCATTTGTGGGCATACCATAATATGTAGAATAGAGAACAAGAAAGGGTCATTTGAAAAGAAGAGCAGCATAGTTCTGTCCTGCTTCTATGGTGGATGTGCAACTGCAGTTCCCTATGACTGAGAATCCTTTAACCAAACAACAGCTAAGGGTCAAATGCCTTTGTTTTAAATGAGAGAAGTTGCAAAGACCTTTCAGCCGTAAAACTGTGAAGAGGTTTCTAGCAAGCAGTTGTAATTATACCATATCATTTCTGCAAGAACAAATGTATTCAATCACAGGGCTCCTACCAAGGCATATTTATTACACCCTGCTTCACTCACTCAGCAAAAAACGCACACCAGCCCCTTACTGTTAAAGCATCTCGATACAAACTGACCTAACATCCACCAAGTTCTTTAAGATTGCATTTTCCTTCCCAATCCATGTCTTCCAAGATGTTTTGCTAAAAACTAGGTCTCCAATCTGAGCATTTTTTAAATTTTATTTTATTTATGTGTGAGTGTATTACTTGCATGTGTGTAAATGCACCCGTGCCATGCAGTGCCCACAGAGGACAGAATAGGGTGTCAGATCCCCTGGAACTGGAGTTATAGACAGCTGTTAGCAGCCATGAGAGTGCTGGGATTCGAACCCAGGTCTTATGCAAGAGCAACCAGTCCTCTTAACTGCTGAGCCAACTTTTAAGGAGTCAGTTCTCACCATGTGGGTCCTGGGGTCAAACTGGGGTGGGAAGTTTTTTTACCTACTGTGCCATCTCAAGGGTACTATTTTGTATTTTTGAGGGAGTAACCCACGCTATAGGCCAGCTTGGTCTGGAATTCGTGGTAATCCTTTAACCCTGGCCACCCTACCTCGATTATGAACCTGAGTCACCACACCCAGCTTAAACCTGTACCAGGTACATTTTAAAAATACAATGCTACCATATTTAACAGAAGTGCTCCTGCTATGGCGTTATTTACCATAATCATAATGGTGAATACAAAAGCCGTTTTCCCCCTATAAAATTCCTCAAGTTCTTATACTGACATAACTGCTGTCCTGGAATCTAATGAAATTGTCTATATATTTTCCATTGTAGATTTGTGGTCAATGGTAATGAACACTCACATAAAAAATAGTGAATTTGTGTGGGGCTAGGCACTGGGTACTCATTCCTTTGTAAATTAATAAACTCATAAAATATTTTTAAAAAGTGAATTTATAATGTTTTATGTGATTAACCCTAAATACACACACACACACACACACACACACACACACACACACACCCCTGTAAGTTATTCAAATGTTTAATGTATTTCCATTTTTACAAAACCAAGTCATAAACTGGCCATGATGACACGTGCCTGTAAGCCCGACTCTTTATGGAGGCTGAAGCTCTAGGGCTGCCATGAGTGCCAGGCCAGCCTGGGCTGTGGTGAGACTGTGCCTACAACAGAAAAACCCCGAAATGAGTGAGTGAAGAACACTGCTGCCCGCTGCACACTCGCACAGCCGGAATGGGGCCCAAAACTCAGCCAGGCTGCAGCCACTCGGACACAGCAGGGGCTCAGGGCCTCGGGAGGCCTCACTAGAGGAGCCTGGAGCGGGAAGAGCTCCCCACAGGCCCCTCCGCCAACCCCCAGGGACAGGGAGGACACGACGGCCTCATGTTGACCACTGCGGACACGCCGTGACAGCCCTCCGTCCGCTACTGGTGACCGTTACCATCGAACTGTGACCTGGCTGTCGGACCCAGGGAAAAGGCGTCCCTCTGGCAGGGAAGGGACAGTGGTCCCAGCTTGGGCGGCACAACTGACCTGGTGCCGCCAACCCAGTTCATGGCTCCAGCGTTTCCGACGCGGCCCAGTTCGCCAGGAGGCTCACGGCTCGGCTCGAGGACTAGGGCCCGCTCCCAGCAGCCACTGCGCATGCCTGGACCCCTCTCCCGGCAGCCACTGCGCGTCTAGGCGCGAGGCACACGGCCTGGGCCCACTCCCGGCAGCCACTGCGCGTCTAGGCGCGAGGCACACGGCCTGGGCCCACTCCCGGCAGCCACTGCGCGTCTAGGCGCGAGGCACACGGCCTGGGCCCACTCCCGGCAGCCACTGCGCGTCTAGGCGCGAGGCACTCGGCCTGGGCCCACTCCCGGCAGGCACTGCTCGGTGACCGCCTTATGGTGTGATGTGTGGCGTGTGTGACCCCTCCGCTCTCTGTTTGCTTCTTGCCGGGTTCTTCCGGCCGCGGGGTGCACTGGGAAAGCGGTCCTCCTAACAGCCTGGAAGACTGGGCCCAGGCAGCGTAGAGGGTGGAGCCCGCTCAGCAGCCTGCGCAGGGAGGCAGCGCGCCATGCGATCTCCTCCAGCCTTGCAGCAGAGACCGGCCTAAGAGGAGACAAGCGGGCTGGAACCACACCCGCGTGCTCGGCGCACGGAGTCGCCGTGCTTTGGAAGCGCACTTTGACCACTGAGCGTGCACACCGCAGCTGGCCTGACTGAGCTGTAGACGTCCTAAGACTTGAAGGTCCTCTCCAGAAAGACGAACTCGCAAAGCAAAAACAGGATTTTGCTGTTCATTTCTGTGTTGTTTTACAAATTGTATTTTGGTTCTTGTACCAATTTAATACGCAAAGTAATTTTTTCAAATTGCCATATTTTTCCCCAGAAAAGTATCTATTTTGTAAGTTGTTGGGAAATGAGTCCTAGAACAAATACTATTATATCCCAAGGTATACATCTTGGTAAAAATATTAATCCTGGATTTAAAAAAAAAAAAAAAAGGAGCACCAAAGTCTGTAATTGAATCAAACATTTCAGAAAATGACTTTCTTGAAGTGGCTATTGGTTTTCAGCAGTTAAACCATGTAATCAAAGCAGGCACAATGAATATGTATTTCCTACTTTCCATGTTCTGAAGTTATTTGCTAATAGATTATCTGGGTCTCCCCTTTGCTCAAAGGGACATAACAGGGAGGTTTGCTTGTATGTTGAGAACAGTCAAGAACAGAGCTGAATAAAACCCTTTCTTTCCCGACTGGAGTCCCTGTTTTCCTCCTAGTCATAGGAGTGCAGCAGAGATGGTGAATTAGGCTATGAAAGATCATGAGACAGATGTGCAGACAAGGTATTCGCTAGGCGGTTCCTCCTAGTAAATGACACTTTTGTAGGAACAAGGACACAGTTGCAATACTCACCTAAGATGTGGGCTTCGGTGTTGTTTATGCGTCCAATGAATAAGAAACACTGCTATTTAAGGGCCAGTAGAGCAACTGGGGAATCTTTTGGGTTGGGAAGCAGTTCAAGAAAACAATATTATACAAATAAAATATTTAATATTTGTTAAGAAAAATATACTCAATTTTTCTTATTTTTAAAATTTTTATGTGTGTTTGAGTGTATTGCCCGCATGTAAGTGCCATGTTGTACAATGCCTCTGGAGGTTAGAAGAGGGCATCAGATTCCCCTAGTTTCACACAATTGTTAGCCACCATGTGGGTGCTGGGAATTGAACCTGGGTCCTCTGTAAGAGCAGTTAGTGCTCTTAACCACTAAGCCATTTCTCCAGCCCTATACTCAATTCATAAAACATAAAGTATCTTATTTCTAAATATTACTTTCTGGTTTATAATGTAAACATAAACAGGTACATTATGTATTTATATACATATATAGTTCTTATTGCAAAGATGTTTTCTATTTTATTAAATATATCTGTATATATAAACAAATATTTCCAATTCTCTTGATATTGGTGATAGCAATTAGACTGTAACACTTTACAGGAGTGATTTGAGAATTACTGCTTTTTTTTTTTTTTGTCTTTTTTTGAGACAGGGTCTCCTTTTAGCCCCAGCTGTCCTGGAACTCACTTTGTAACACAGGTTGTTTTTTTTTTCCTTTTTTCTTTTTTTTGAGACAGGGTCTCCTTGTAGCCCCAGCTGTCCTGGAACTCACTATGTAGACCAGGCTGTTTTTTGCTTCCTTTTTCCTTTTCTAGCTCAGAATTGAAACTAAATTAGCATTGTCTTTGCTTTGATTGCTTAGTGCCAATAAGGGAATGGGAAGAAGCACCCTAATGATCTTCCTGTCTTACTTATAAGCATATGTAACCATGTGTTGGTTAACAATGGAATACACTCAGCAATTCCTTTCAGGTGGTTTTGTCATTGGTCAAACATAAGAAAATGTACGTGACAAAGCTAGCTACTCTAATTCCCTCTGTTCTCTTAGTACAATTAGGAGGCGGGGTGAGCATGAGATGTATGTGACTACCACTGGCATAACTAACGTGACATGCTATCTTGTGATACACTGTCTTTATAGTTGTGAGTATACTATAAAATAGTGATAAAAGGTGTGGTATAGCAAATATGTAGACCAATTAACAAGCTATAATGTGTTATAGTATGAATGGGAGCATAGTAGGTCTCTTTACAACATTGCTTCAAATACATGAGGAATGCATTATGCTACGATGTGATGGCTACAGTGTCACTAGGCAACAGGGTGCTTTATAGTCCTAAATCTCACAGGACCATGTCTTATATGTGGTCCATCGTTGACTGAAATCCTATTTGGCGCATGGCCTCATTTCCAACACTAACTGCCTGCATTCTTTCTCTCACCTTGACTTCTTCCTTTGCCCTATCTGGAGTCTTGAGCCAAGTCTCAACTCTTAGGATGAGCACTGACCCTTGGGAGCAGTGTAGGTGAAGGATAGAGGTCAAATTTAAATGCTTGTATTTAGGTTGGTACCAAAGTGGCTCACTGTCAAGTCTATTTACACACCGCCTTTCATAGCTCTCTGACACTGAGCCTCCTCTACCGCACGTCTCGTACCTGAATGTTCTTGATTGCTTTCTTCAAACTCAGTTTTCTTCTCACAAGTCTCTTGCCTCAGAAATCAATGGTTGTTCTTGCCACCCCAGCTTCATTATCAGTTAGTAAAGTGCCCAGTCTATGGTGAGGTGCTGTCCTGTTCTGATAGCTAATATTCTTTGATTCTAGATTTCCTACTTACTGTCCCTCCCCTGATGGCTGCCTCTTGTTTGCCTGTGATGCATCCTGCTTGCTTCAACTGCCAGCTGCTGCCTAATCCAGGCATCCTTCTGCTTGAAAGAACATCCTGCCCTCACCCCAGTCAAGTCTATGCTGCCCATAACCCATCCATTACAGGTAACTTACATGTTCAGCTCAGAAGCTATGACATGAATGACTTCGTGTCACAAATGGAAACACTCTTAATCATCACCTTGTAAACAAATATATCAGATCTGCAACATCTAAGAAATAAAGATTTTGGCAGTAACCAGTGTGACCTGTTGCTTTTCACATTTGGGCTTAGAAAGTCAACTTGTCTCACCCTCTAAGCTGAACCAGTGTTCAGGATCAACAAACTCAGCACCTCAAGTATGCTAGGGAAACACTTTAGAGCAAAGCAGTACTCCTAGCCCAGGAAGTCTTAATAGCATGGTAGAGTATGCTACTAATGTGACCAGATGTGGAAGACACATGTGTTTGTCACTCAGGTTCTAGTAAATCTGTTAAGCTGAATGTAAACAGATGATTTTCTGGAAAATGATTTTTGGAGTTAATATTTGTATATAGCAAAGAAAGAGTTTTAAAAGTTTAAGAATATTGTGACTTATACAAGTCAGAGTAATTCTTTGATTCATTATTATCTAAATAATGACGATCATTCAACCCTGAGGCACGTATTGTAGCACAGAGGTTTGTAGAATTCTATATAAAATAATTCTTAGCTTAAGGGTTAGACAAAAATAGCAGCCCCATCAATTGTAATTTGCCATGCTAATTCTAGCCTAAATGTATGTCTTCCAGTTAGC